TTCAAATTCCCAAATACTCAATTATTTATATTCAACTTAAAGACTGTTGGCACAGAAGTACCAGTGTCGGCAAAGACTTCCCAGAACTTACTGCATTAATGATTCAGACAAAAAAATCTTAAAGAAGCATGCTCTTTCATTCTCAGGGAATTTGAGTTCAGTGCAAGGTCTTACGGAGATGGTGGTGAAAGAGTAGCCCACCGTATTCTCTTTTTTTCTCAGAGCATGTACCGACCCCCTCCACCCCGCAAGCTTTACCCCATGAGAGGTGGAGAAGGAAGGAAATAACAGGCTGTCTACCAGCTCCTGCTCTTTCAGACACCTGATGAACAATGCCACATAATGACTTCAGCACAATCTTCCAATTCTAGTACACAAGTATGATATTCAGATTTGGGGAGGTTGGAGTGGTTGCAGGATTCTTAGGGAGTACTTTGCACATGGAGAGCAAGCAATACAGATTATGTATGCACCTCCAAACATTCCTGACCTTTGGCAGCTCCACTTTCACTCACTTAAGTCTAACGTGGGTCATATAGCATTTAACATTTATTTACCATTCTGTCCATTAAGCTTGCACTACATCCATTATGGAGAGTGAGTTCCCTGATGACCAGCCATTCAGTGAGGCAGTACAGGGTTTAGAATCAAATTGCCTGGATTCAGACCTTGTCTCTGCTGCTCGGTAGTTGTACAACCTAGGCAGGGGGTTTAGCTGCCTTCAGCCTCTAGTTTTATTACCTCTGAAATAGAGATGATGATAATACCTACATCAGAAATATCTAATGGGGTTAAATGAGATAATCCACATAACTGTTCTTAGCTCACAGCACCTGGTACGGAATGAGAGTTCAAAGTTGGGTACTAGCCATGTTATTTGTTATTCCAGGAAACGGCACTTCAAGACACGTCTGAGGCCCTGGATATTACACAGAAAGAGCTGGGGCAAAGGAGTGTCTCCCCATGCCTCTGCCAAAAGCAACCTGAAAGTCAAACTTTTGTTTTTGAATTGTAGGTGTTCAGTGGCAGTAAACAAGAAATAAAGGTCAACAGCCGTTTCCTCTGGAACCTGGCTAGTAATGTGACATCTGGAATTGACTCAACTTGTGAGTAGAAATAAACAAATCTTCTTCCCTGCAACCTTACATACCTACCTTCATTCTAACTCTCTTTTCTACCTAATCCCCACTTTCCGAAAATGTATAAAATAATTGCCTTGCATAAGCCCATGTGGCACTTTTTAGGTGTGATCCTACAGCAAGGATGTGTATCATTGTGTGAATGCTAAATACTTCTATTTCCATTATAGAATTTAGTAACAATGATAAAGAAATGCCCTATATTGAAAAAAATTAAAACCCTTGATTTCAAAATTTGGCCATTTTTTCCTTTCACAGACCACTTCTTATTCCATAGCATGTTACTATACTATTATTTATAAAGCACTCTTAGCCAATAGTGATTTGATTCAAAATCATTATGAAGGCTAGAGTTGTCTCCCCTGATTTCAATTCTACATGTTTTCTACCAGACACAATTTGTTTCAAAAAAAAAACCAGAAAAGTCAAAGGTCTCTGTCCCCATAATCACTTTGTTCGTTCATCTCATACGTGTCCTATAAGGCCTCTCAGAGATGCAGAACTAAGGAGCGAAGAAATGAAGTCTGTTCCACAATTAGCATCCAGCTCCTGTTCACTGAGGCTACTTGGAGAATTTTTTTTTTTAATCCCTTGCCTCAAGCCTGTGCCTCTATTCTTTAATTTATGCTGTACACCACCTAAATTAACGTTGCCCAAATATCCATTTTCTAAATTATTCATTCTCTCTCTCTATTAGTAGCCTGGTCACAGAAATATTGCGAAAATTTTAGCATAATCAAACACTTTGATTTATTCTTGATTCAAATACATATATAATTTATTGAATATCCTCTGTTTCAAGCATTTTGCTAGGTGTTCCTTACATAGTGATGAATAAAACAATTAAGAGTCTCACCAATTATACACCCTCACGAGGCTTATCATTTAGCGGTGGAATCAGACATGAGACAAATAAACACAAAAATAAATATATAATTACAAATTATAGTGAGCAGAAAAGACAGAAAGAAAAAAAAGAGAAAACATATGTGATCATAACAAGGGGGCACCCAATTACGCTGAGTGGATCAGTGGAGACCTCTCTAAAACTGAGTATGTTGTTTGAAACCTAAAGGATTCACAGAGGTTAGCTAGGCGAAGATTTGGGGGAGGTTCGAGAGGTTCTTCTAAGCAGAACACACACAAAGTCCCTGGGGCAACAAAGAACTGGCCACACTAAGAAACTGAGAAAGGCCAATATGTGGAGCTTAGTGAGCAATAGGGAGAATTCTATCATATGGACTTCACCTCATATAACTGTTCTGAATTCAATTTTTTTAAAAAAAATCTGGAATGTCTACTCAAAAAGCCATATTGCTAGATAATCGTGTGATTTCAAATTCCCAGAAAAATTGTACAAATAAGCCTGTACTCCAGCCTGTTGCCCTCCACACTCCCACACACCACTCCCCTTAGGCCTGTCCCTGCTAAACGATGCCTACATTTTAAAAATTACTTATCAAATGATGTAAAATTAATGGAGTACAAACACAAAACAATTTTTGTTTTTCTCCTTTTAACCATGCTCTATAAAATCCCTCTCCTATATTTTAACATCATAAGCAGATTTCATAGGTTGGTGGTCACATCCAGTTATTAGTGTCTAGCCTTGCCTAAACCAAAATCTAAAACTTCAGTATCAGTCCAATTCTGTGTTGGTTCCTTTCCCTCCTGGCACCTGCCAAATTTGGCCTGAGTGATTTGGGAAGGAGAAGGGCAAGTTCTGACCATTTACTCATCCTGCCCCACACCCAGGGTTCCTTTTCCTCCAGTGTGCTGGTGAGAGATAGGGCTTCCAAGATTGGCAAGGGCTAGATCCTAAAGAATCTCCTATGTCAAACTAAAGATCTTGGCCTTTATCTTTTAAAGGAGATACGGGAAACATTAAAGGGAAATTACACAAATGGGTTTTCATTTTAGAATTATCCTTTCACCACACTATAAAGAGTAGATTAGAGGAGACAGGCAAGGCTTTGGATTACAAAGAACATTGGTCTCACGAAACCTCTCCCACTGCTCCTCTCACAAGTTTCTTCTCACAGACTTCTCTCACAATGCCATGTAACCTTCACTGGCTTTGAAATACTCCTGAAAATCCTTCTTCTAAACTTGGGCAAGTTTGACCAATCATTTTCAGGATTTATTAAATACCACAATGGGAAAAAATGGCATTTCTGCTCTATCAATCTTGGCTAAAGGGTAGCAAGATAATAAAATAGGACTCTTTGTCTTGGAGTTTCACCAGTGGCCCTGAAGTCCAAGGGCAATGTCTAAATTGAGGAGCTAGACCACCAAAGCAATACATCCAAAGGGCTGTGAAACTGATTCTCCCAACATTGCTCAATCTCCCACCTGCATTTCAGTAAATACAGAAGCTGAGAAAGCCTATAGAGGAGAATGCCTTTAGAAATTGTTCTGGGTACTATCAAGGGGATGAGATGGGGGAGAGAAGGAGAAAGTACTTTCCTTCACCTTAATCCAGGTGAGAGGAGCTTCTGTGAACCTCTCAAAAAACTTGGCCTACAGCCTCTGAAGCTTGGGAGACCTGAAACTGGACTCTGCCTCTGCTGCAGGAAGTCTAAAGAGGCTGTGACTATTATTAGTCTGACTGTAAACAACAGGGAGAGCTGCATTAGTCAATACCTACAGTTGCAATGACAGTGGACAAAGGGTTTGTCTCCTAGGACCCAGATGTGTCTCCTTGGTCAGAAAGGCAGCCTAGGGTGTGAGAGGTCAGCGTGGAGAAGCCAAAGGCCCACAGCGGAGACACGTATTGCTGGAAGCTTAGGCTAAAGGGGGACTCAGAGGCAGCCACATATGGGAATATTACTTGTTAAAGAGAACTGCAGTCATAGGTTCTCTAGCAGGAGGCTCTGCCAGGAAAAAAATCATCCCAAGAAATAAGAGCCAACAATTGTCTGTAATCTTTGATATAATCCTTATCTCTCTCCCCTGCCCTTAATTCTGGGTGTCCTTGTGACTCTTTTTTAACCAACAGCACATGGCAGAAATATCATTGCAGGACTTTGGGAGCCCGGTCAGAAAAGGCAATGCAGCCCCGCTTTGCTGCCAGATACAACTATATCACTCAAATAAAACTCTTCTTACCTCTTATCATTCTTCTCCAGAGGAGTGGGAGATCATACCTGGGAGTAGAAGAGGAAGTAGAATTACAAAATCATGAAGAGGCAGAGCACGCTTCCCCCATTCCTGGTCAGGCCTAAGACGGGAGACAGGAGAACCCTAAAGTAGATAAGAATCCTAAGTTTTGACGCTATACTTGACAGGAATTTTCATTTGCTAAAATGAGACTTTCTTGTGATTGAAGGAACCAGAAAGATATTAGGCCTGCCAAGTATTTCATCCAGGATAGGAAAGAGTAAATCTCAAGGCAAGTTTGAAAGGAGAGAAAAGAAAATAATTTACACACTACAAACTTTGTTCTATAAAATGCCTACACAATCTATGTTTTGAAGCAGATGTAAAACAAGAGTTATGGAGTCAGCAGAGAGCTGGAATTACACAGAAAGCAAAGGCCATCTGGTGGCTACATCAAGGCCATCTAAAACCTCTGGCCTGCTTAGGGTTAGCATTTTTTATGAAATAAATAAATTTGCTCATGTAATTGTTTGGACAAGTCATAAACACAGAAGAAAGCAAAACTGGGTTATACTTGCTGCTCTTTATTTTATACTTTTCTGTTAAAACTTATTGGGTTTTTTGGGGGGGTGTGGGTAATTCCTGGAAGCCCAGTGGATGTTGAGTAATATGGGATTAATTTTAAAAGCACAAAATATTCTATGTTGTGCAAAGGCACACATGACCACTAGATGAAGTGGCGTTAATAAGTCAGAGTAAGCCTCATACAGGCCCCTTTTTTCTTGAATGCAGTCTGTTTTCTGTTTCTTTCCAAAAGCAAGACAAGAAGCTTGTTTTTCTCTTGGGAAGTCTTCCACAATATGTCCTATAATTTAAATTTCCTTTAAATAGATATATGCTCTTCTTTTTAAGTATTAGAAATTCTCATGTCAAGAAATATATAGTGCCCTTATCCCCTCCTCAGAATCTGGGTGAGCATGTGACCCATTTTTAACCAACAGAGTATGGCCGAAGCAACACTGCATGACTCCCAAGGCTAGGTCAGAAAAAGCGATACAGCTCCCACTTCATTTGCTGGGATACTGATTTGGGGACCCCTGATGCCACACAAAAGGGATTACACTGAGGTTGCCATACTTTGAGGAAGTCCAGGCAACAAAGAGAGGCCATGTGGAAGTGTTGACATCACAACTGACAAATAACATCAACCACCAGGCAAATGAGAGAAGACACCTCCAAATGACTTCAGCCCCCAGCCCTTGAGCCACCTATAGCCACCAACTCTTCTCAACCCAGGCCCCAGAGTATGAGCAAAGATAAGCAATTGAACTATGCCTCGTCCAAATTCCTGACCCACAGGATCTGTGAGCATAATTAAATGTCTATTTAAAGCTACTAATTTGGGGGTAACATGTTACACAGCAATAGTAAGTACAACAGTAGAAATTTTGCAAAATATTGACTAACCTGGCCAATTTCTAGAATTCACAAGCTCCACCAGACTGTTTATCCCCTAGGTCCAGCTTTCCTTTATGCAACTGTTACTGGTTAAGTTTTGTCTCCCAAAATTTCATATGAAGTCTCAGCCCCAGTACATCAGAATGTGACCTTATTTGGAGAAAAGGTCTATACAGAGGTAATAAAGTTAAAATGAGGTTATTAGAGTGGCCCTAAACCAGTATGACTGATTATTTTTTTTTAATTGGAGACCGACACACATATAGGAAGACACCCATGTGAACATAAAGATAGCCATCTACAAGCCAAGGAGAGAATCCTAGAGTAAATCCTTCCCTTACAGCCCTCAGAGGGAACCAACTCTGCCAACACCTCGATTTCTGGCTTCTAGCCTCCAGAACTGTGAGACAGTAAATTTCTGTTGCTTAAGCCAACAAGTTTGTGGTATTTTGTTATGACATCCCTAGAAAACAATTACAGCATCCAAGCTAGGACCAGTAGTCAGAAAGAATTCCCTAAGGCCAGAGACAGATATAAGATTTCATTGATTCACATAATCTGTTGTTGGAACTGTCCCGATGTGTGGGTGTCATCTCCAATAATCCCATCAAGTGGTCTGCTAACCTATTTATCCCTGTCATGCTAAAGATCTTACTACCTCCCAAAGCAGCCATTCCAGCCTTACCCAACTCTGTTTATTTAGTAGGCCAAAATCATCATTAGGATCATACAGATTGAATTTAATCCACCTTACATAGGATGGTTCTTTACATATTTTCAGACAGCTGTCTGTGTCCCCTGAGTATACTCTTCAACAAAAGGAACTTCCCCAGGCTCATGTAGACATTCCTTATATGATATGATTCCATGTCCCTTCACGGCCATAATTATTCTCCTCTGAATTTACGTCCATTTATACCAAAATAAGAAATAAAATTTTTTAATGAAAACTACCCAGATATACTGCAGACTGCCTTACAAGGCAGTGAGTTTACTGTTACTGAGAGAAGAGCTTTGAAGACACTCAGTGATGTTGTAGAGAGATTACTAAATCAGAGAAGATATTGGACTGGCTGTCCTTAAGGATACCTTTTGATTTTATGATTTTATAACACCCTAGACACCTGAGATTCTGTTTATACTCTCTCATGCCCTGAGTAATAAATGAAGTACAGAAGGGTCACACAATAAAAACTTTGATGATAGTATACTACAGTAAGGCCTCACAAAAGAAGAAAACTGCAGAAAAAGAAATGAGGACATTCTGAACAATAAGCAACAAGCTAGTTATTTATCATAGCATCTCACTTACCTTCCCTTTGGATAAGCTAGGTCTGTGTTTAATCCTTCTACCACGGATGCTTATGAGAACATTTTTAAGAAAGCAAGTTTATGGAATTAGATGTAATTGATTCTGTAGTGATATTGAACTCAGAAAGCTCAGAGGAAGATTTCTTTCACATGGTTAGCCCTGTGGCATTTTCATACAAACCTGTCTACAGATCAATCTCTAAAATATGGTTCCTTTTCAGTAAAACATATTTGAATAAAGCTTTTATCTTTGAACAAAAAATGAAAAGGCTAAAAGGAAAAAAATTTGTGCCTGACCCAATGCGTAACTAGGTTGTAAATGTTTCTTCTAAGCTGTCCAGCTTCCTGTGTTCCTTAATGATGCTGCCCAGCAAGGGGGTTTGTCTGCAGATGGAGAATTCCTAAGATTTGTGTGCCTGTACTAATAGAGGTAAATGAGCTTCAACTATCACACTTGCTTATACAAAAATAGCAAATACAGAATATCATACCCTCAGGAGACCAACACTTCTGTCATGGTCCCATCTTTGCTATGGCTTCTCCAATTTACAAGCTCTTCACTCTTTGAAAATACTCCAGAAGAGACCAGGGTGGGAGTCAGGGTACAGGAGACTTTAATACCTTTGTATGACTCCTCAAAAAGTGACTTCACTCTTTAGCCCAAAATAAATTTAGGTTTAAGATCAAAGATATAAACAAAACAAAACAACACAGAACATAAATCATACAATATCAGGGAAAAAATGAGGAATTATGTTTTAACCTTGAAAATGGAATGGCCTTTACAAACATGACCCCAAACACAAAATCCATAAAGTAGACTAAATTTAACATCATAAAGTTTTAAACACTGTGAATGGCAATAAATAGACAAAACCAAACCACTGGCAACAGGATATGAATAGACCATTCACAGAAACTAATATTAACATCAAACAAAAATTGCTTAATCTGGATTATAATTTTTAAAATGGAACTCAGGAGGGTGGGTAGAGTTCAATGTAGAGCCCATGCTTAGCATGCACGAGGTCCTAGGCTCAATCCCCTGTATCTCCATTTTAAAAATAAATAAGCAAATAAAATAGAACTCAAAGTGAGGAAACTGCATGTTTTACCTATCAGATTAGCATTTATTTTTTAAGTAAAACCCAGTCTTGTCATAATGGAAGGAAATAGGCCTTTTCATACACTGTTAATGAAACAGTAAATTGTGGCAAATATTTTTGTGGGCAATTTGGCAATATCTATTTCTGATGCTTTTCATTAGTTTTGGAAAATACTGGCTATCATCTATTTGAATATTGCTTCTGTCCCATTATCAATTTTCTCTTGTTCTCATACTCCCATTATGTATATATTAGCCAAGATAATTTTGAAGAACAGAGCTGAACAACTTACACTGCCATAGATCCAAAACTATATAAAATTATGGTAATTAAGACTGTGGTAATGATGCAAATGTAGACAAACCCACTATGGTAGGCAGAATTCTGAAGATGCCAAGCCCCAATTCAAAATCACTACTCACCATTATTTAGTCAAACCTAATCAAGATATTGCTGTGAAGAAACTTTGTGATATAATTATGGTTACAATCACCTGACTTTAAAATAGAGATATTATCCTGGATTATCCAGGTGGGCCAAATGTAATCACATGAGCCCTCAAAAGCAAAAGAGGAAGGCAGACAATCCAGTCAGAGATGCAGCAGAAGGGCAAGTAGGAGAAATTCAAATATGAGAGGAACTTGACTTGCTGTTGCTGGAGGAGAGCCATTTGGAAAGCATGAGAAGGAATGCTAGCCTTGAGAAGCAAAAACTGAACACCCAGCCAACAGCCAACAAGGATTGAGGAACTCAGTCCTAAAACCACAAGGAACTGAATTCCACTAAAAACTTGAACGACCTCAGAAGCAAGTTCATCTCCAGAGCTTCCAGAGAAGAGCTCAGCCTTGCCAACACTTTGATTTCAGCCTTGTTAGATTGTAAGCAGAGGACCCAGAAGAGCCACACTGTATCCAGTCTCCTGACTCACAGGGCTGTGAAATTAAAAACAGGTGTTGTATTGAGCCACTAAATTTATGATAGTTTTCAATGACAGCACTAGAAAATTAATACAGTGACCAAGGATAAAGAGTCCATGAACAAAAAGAATATGAAAATGAATATATGTATGTTCCTGTATGACTGAAGTATTGAGCTGTACACCAGAAATTGACATAACATTGTAAACTGATTATACTTCAATAAATATGTGTGTGTGTGTGTGTGTGTGTGTG